ATGGTCTGTTCTACAGTCTGGCCCTGGCCTTGTTTTGGCTGGTGATATGGAGCTTACCCTCCATCTCTTTCCACAGATGTAGTCAGTGTGATTTCTGTGTATTCCATCTGGTGATGTCCTTGTGTATAGTCAACTTTTATGTTATTTTAAAAAGGTATTTGCAATGAGCAAGTCATTTGTCTTGCAACATTCTTGATCCTTCCTGTTTTTCTCAACCTTTGTATTTTAATCACCAGTAATTATCAATACATCTTGATTACATGTTTGATGAATTTCAGACTGAAGAAGAAGGTGGTAGAATTCTTCAATTTCATCATCACTTTCTTATCTTACTAACTATAGAAAATCATTAAAACTAAAATAGACACCTTATCTATACCAATGTCATAATGCATTTAAAATACATTTTAGAATGGTTTTCTACAATATGAATTGAACCATAAGTTCTTTTGCCTGTAAATAAAGAAAAATTTCATTTTTGGGCATTCTGGGTACTTTAGATTTGATTTGCTTTTGTATCTATGAATTGAGATGTTCTTGAAGTTAAAAGATACCAGGTTACTAGTAATTGTTTTCATTTCTGAATTTGGTTGATTTAAAATGTATATAGTAAATTTGAGAAATGTATCATTTCTCAAACTTTATAAACTTTTATAAAGTTTATTTTCTCAAAAATTTTATAATCCATGAGATAAAAAAATTTATTAGCTGATGTTTTGGTAAACTCTGTTTAGCTCTGTGGTTATCTGGAGAGATCCTGATTTCTTTTTCTTTAAGTGATTTATTCAATAGACTTGGCTTACTTAGACTAATGACTACTTATATGAATACATTTTCAGAAAAAAACATTTGGAAGCATTTTATTTTATTATTTTTCATGAGAAGATTTCAGATCCTTAATTAGATGTGTTCAGATATTTTTTGAAGAATTAATTTTGTTCTATTCAGAGTGGGATAGTTTGCTCATCCTTTCTTATGTGCTGTTTGTTTATTTTTTCCTTTTCTGTTAGTGTTTGCTTTCACAACCAAAGTTCTGGGCCATTCAGACATCAGCCTTGATCCTCCGTACAAAACTTGAGAGGGGAAGCACACGCCGAGTGGAACGAGCAGTGAGGCAGACACAGGTAGGAATTTATGTGGCAATTTTGGCTTTTCTCCATCAACTCTTTATTACTATCAGGAAGCATGCATGTGCATTATGAATGATATGGTTTTTGTTTTACCTACCTACTTAGTAGATTCTAGAATTTGACTAGTCTTCTTATTCCTCACCTGTAAATGAAACTGAAAATACCAGTACTTACAGGTTTATGGTGTCCTGATGTAGTGGTACAAGATAAACATTGGACTATTAACCTCAGATTGGTGGTCAAACCCACGAGCCACTTCCCGGAATCCCTATACAGGGTTTATATGAGTAGGAATTGACGGAACTTAACAATACCAGTAGGTTATTGTTCACCAGTAGGTGAACAATATAAGAGTTAATAAAAAAAAATAAGCAGTGCCACAGGTACAAATTATATAAGGAAATGAAATTCATCCTTACATAAAATATTCACTAGTAAATTGACAACATTTAAAATTAATCTGGATTCAGACAGCATTTTCCATTTAGTATTAATGTTTACTCTTGTCTAATGAGTCACTATCATTTAATCTTTCATACATTGATAAATTAATCATTATACAAATTGATTAACAAGAAAAATGTTTTAAAATGTAGTATTTTATAATCATGAAACTGGTATTTTTTAAAGTTTATTTTTATTATGTAACAATTTAGAATTGATGTAAATAAAAAATTGTTCCAGAATAAAAGCTTGTCTTTTTTTAAAAAAAGCAAACTAACATATTTGAGTTAGAAGAGTTACCTTTGTGTAAGAAGAGGGAAACAATAAAGGCATGAACTGACTGGCTTACAAGTTTTCAAGAGGGAGTTTGGTTTCAGAGTGTGTGTGAGGAAGGTAGAACTCCCACTGAGTAGTTTCATCTTATCTAGGCGGATCTGGTGAAAGGAGATGGGGATAAGATTCTTATCATTCATAGTGAGTAATTGTTACTCTATTTGTGACTGTCACAACTGTAAAGGTAGAAGTTTTGTGACAAAAGGGGACAGTAGTTAATCTTACAGTCCAGGAACAGAGGAACCTAGGACCATCAAGGGAGAAGAGCATAGGCGGAATGTGGGACCCTATCCAGAGAAGCAATGATACCAGAGATGGAGGCAGAGATGATATGGAGAGATAGAGCAGATGGGGACTCTAGACTCGCGGAAAGAGAAAGGCTTTATACTGGTGGCCAGGAGGTAGGCTTTCAGAATGTGCCCTTTGGTTGTTTAGATTATGTATTACTGAGTGTTTTGTGTGTATTAAAACAACAAAACACAGAGGGAATAGAAGCAAATACTGTTGAAAGATGATGCATGGAGGGGATTGTAATCATTGCAGTGAAATGAAATAGAATGAGTGTAAAACCG